ATGTAGATTAGATAAAATACCGGTATAGATCTATTGACACTATTGTAACAGTGGTGTAGCTAGGGATTTGGGGGCCAGGGAGCTTGACCTCTTTAGGAGCCCCTGCATTTTGACTTTAGACATCATAAGATAATGGCGTAATATTTAATGTAAAAACACATTTGGGACACTCATTTTCAAATGTAGACCCCCCCCTCCCCCACCATAACTGTGCCACTGTATTATAACCTTAGTAGGTTTTTTACTGAAGTATTCTTATTTCATTTCCATGGAAAAATTCTTTTAATGTACTCTTTCTTCCTACTTAATGATTAATGAATTGCTATTAAAGCAATAAATGAATTGCCTCCTGAATCAGCCAGGAAAGCCATGATGAAAAGTCATGTATGCTTATCTATTCTAGCAGAGTCCCTTTTAAAAGTGGAACCATTTTCCTGTAGAGCTCTTGAATGACATTAATGGTACAATATAGCCCTTGCACACTGACCTATGTTTTCCACATTAAATTCATTTCCCATTACAGCTCTTGCTGTAAAATCATTGGTTAAGTAAACAACAGGAAGCAGGAAATTTAGTGCTTCTCATCTTCATCATCGCCTAAGATCGACAAAAGGTTTTAAAGAAGTCTCCTGAAACGAATGAATACTTAATAACAATGCATTGAACTCCAACTATCTGTGTTTAGCATACTCTCTCTATTGATTACTTTCAGGTAAAAGCAAAGACAGTGGTGGTAAAAAGTTTTGGGATTTGGTTGTCATAACAACAGCAGATAGAGCCCAAGAAGAAGCTTTTCAACGTCAGATAGATGAAAAGTTCTCAAGAAATGAACTTCCTTTAGATCTTCCGATACATGTAGTTTCTGACCCACCAGGAGCTAGAATTGGTGAGATATGATCATGTATAGTATTGAATAACAATACTAATCTATATTGTTCTGCAATATGAATAATTTGATATTATAACGTAGGGATCAATTTCTTTTCATTCTAGAGACAATTTAGTGCAAATAGTTGTTTAAAAAAAAAAGACCATCAAGTACTGTGCTTTCTTTCCTGTTTACAATAAAATTGAAATTTTTCTTACAGAAAAAAAAAATTCTTTTAAGAAAAATAAATGGAGCATAGTACTTGATTATCAACTCTTATACATTCTGTTCCATTTTAATAAAGATAATTCGGTTACTTAAAAAATATGTCAAGTTTTTGTATTAAAAAAAAAAGATGCTTGTACCTTCTGAAATAGTCCCTGATTTTTTAATATGAGTTTTTATGGATCTTCTCAAAAGGCCTCTTTCATCCCTGTGTTCAGTACATTCAATTTTCTATATGTTTTTGTAACTGCAACTTGCATTGTTTTTAGTAAAAATACAGAAGTCTTGTTTTGAGCAAGAATAAACTAAGTATTGTTTCATCACTTTTAGAATCACAATTTTAATTTTTTTATTTCCTTTCTCATGTTTTAATTTCCTTTTCTTTATTGTGAAGTAATAAAAATATATGCTGGTACTACATTATACATATTTATTCAGATAAATTAAATTTCAATTAAATTTTGAAAGATGCATCTTAACATACAGGCTAGGCTTTTACAATTATTATTAAATGCATTTGTGCATCCTTATACACTAAGATTATGTTTAAATATATTTTTGCAATTCTTCTATTTTAGGAAATGGTGGTTCAACCCTTACAGCCTTAGAGTTCTTAAAAAATAAGTATGATGCAACAGTTTTTCAAATGAAGATATTACTGATACATGCAGGTGGCTGGAGTCAAAGAATGCCAAGTGCTTCCGTGCTGGGCAAAATATTTTCTCTTCTCCCTCATGGTACGCCACCATATCAGATGTTAGATTTAAAGCTGGCTCTCTACTGGCCATTTGTTGAGAGAATTGGACCTGGAATTTTCCTAGCATGTGCTGACGATTTCATTGTTTACGGCTATGGAGATGGGGAGGAGTGGTCAATCCCTGAAAATGGCTTCACTGCTCTGGCACATCCTTCCCCAATAGAAATCGGAAGGACACATGGAGTATTTGTGGTTGATGGCGATGTTGATGCTAATATACCTGTTCACATAAGAGAATGCCAGCTGGCTTTACAAAAGCCCAATGATGAAACAATGATTGCTAAAGGCGCACTAATAAATGGATATGCCCACATTGATGGACAAGCAGTTTATACAGACAGCTCTTTTTATTTTGGTGTTGATGTGATGAAAAAATTGTTAGATTTTAAGAGAAGCGTGGGAGATCTTCATTGTGAGATTGATGCTTATGGAGACTTCTTGCAAGCTGTCGGCTCTCGAGCTAGCAATGATTACATTCACCAGACCTCCAATGTTAGTCAGCTGACGTCAAATTTAAGTGAAATGAGAAGTCGAGTGTTTAGATCTTTGAATGGCTCAGATTTCCATGTGCTTGTTCTCAATGCTTCTGCTTTCATTCATATAGGCACAGCAAAGGAACTTTTATATCACTTCTGTGAGGATAATATTTTTAAAGAAAGAATGGGATTTGAGAATAATATTTTCAATGGCTTGACTCGTTTTATTAGTGATTCAGATACAATTGAATGTTATTGTATGTCTCGAGATCTGCTTATCCCTTCTAATGCATGTCTTATGCATTCTCTGATTCATGCCGACTCAGAAATCGGTGAACAATGTGTAATAGAATATTGTGATTTCGAATATCCTGTTCATGTCATGCCAGGATGCATTGCCAGTAATTGCCAAGTTGTCATGAGAGAAGCATCAAGAGAAGCATCACTGGCCTATTATAAAATACCAAAAGACTGCTTCCTGCACACTATCCCAGTTCAAGTGAACAATGAAACAAAATATGTAAGCATATTTTTCAAAACCAACGATGATCTGAAGAAATCAATCTCTGTTAATGACCTTGAACGTTTGAGTTTTATGGGTTCCAACATATGTCATTTTCTGCATACACATAATCTACAAAAAGAAAATATTTTGCCTCATGTGCAGGGTGATTTCAATTCCTTTGAGACATTCAATCTTTGGAATTTAAAGCTTTACCCAGCTAAACTGACCATGACCTCATCTTTTGAAGCTGCCATATCATCTCTCTCCTTACTGACCTCCCCTGAGCCACAAGATTCAGTGTGTGTTAACACATCAGAAACCTATTTGAGCCTAGCTGATATACTCAGCTCAAAAGATGTGGAACAAATGCTTGGTTTTAGAAAAACTTTGCATGACAAACTGTCAAGAGTAAATTCAAGTGGCCCGTAATCTTAATCCATATACAAAAATGATTTTTTAATAATAAACTGAAAAAAAAAATCCAAAATTAGAAATATATATTACTTCTGAGTTACCGGTATTGATAAAAATTATCTCAATTTTTTGTTAACTACATAATAATTTCAGGTTTCAATGTAAAAAAATTAGTTGTACCAGTATATTTGTATGTTTTAAGAATTGAACTAAAATATTAACAGTACTTCTATTAATGGGTTAAAGTTTACACCTGTACTACTCAGTTACTGCTTGGTTTAGCCTTATAATCTCCTTTGATCTTTTAATTTGATGACTATATGCTATTTTTAATATTATTAAATACAAACCTCACAAACCATATTGGACACTTTGTTGATAACAAGACTTCTTACCAACTTCCATTAAGGCCATTGTTTAACTAGAAAAAAAATTTTAGTTAAAATCGTAGTTTAATTAATTTTTTTAGTTATTAACTAAAAAGTTAAATTAAAATTTGTACAACTTTTCAACATGTGGTCAGGGTTGAAACGCACATCCCTGTTTTCTGGTCATGTGATATCTATAACTTTGATTATCAAAAAATGATGCAGTTAACAACTATTTAGTCAGTCTGCCTTTGAAGAGGGTAAAGTAAGATGCTGGTAGAAGTCATGGGATTAAATATTTGCAATTGAAAGTAGCAGTATAATAAAATGTTAAAAATTTTTTGCTAAAAGCTTCTATGCAATATTATGAATGGGATTGTTCCGAAATTTTTTTATGAGCCACCTGGTGGTGTTTAATTTATGTTTATAGTGGGAATCTGATTAGTTAGTTAGGTCAATATTATGTTTAGTGGTTTTGATCAATTCATTGCAGCAAACAATAATTTTTTAACTGCAGGAACATCAACTACACCCTTTTTATAGCCTTAAGACTTATTATTGAGATCTAAGAATCGAAAGTTAGGCCTATATACATCTTAAAGCATTAGGATAACCAACTCCAGAAAAAAAAAATCTTAATCCACACCCTCTCTTGATTATAAAGTAAATAGACTGTGTCCAACTGATTTTAACAACCTGGTCATCTAGACATACACGTGTATGCCTAGTGTACTGTACAAGTGTAGCCGATGATACTAAAAAGACTACCATGCATCTTTTTCATTACACGTTATGCAATAGTGTTTGCTTAATGTGGAGTGGTCAGACGAGGCATGGCTAGTCAAGCATGTTCTTTACACTAAATTAGTTACACACCCTCCCAGCCCAGAAAGTAAATAGACAGTCTGTCCAACTGATTTTAACAACCTGGCCAGATAGACATACACGTGTAGGCCTATATAGTGTACTGAGTGTGCAGTCCATAATGACAAGACCACCTTTTTTTTTTCTCTTTTGCACATTTAACGGTTATGCAATAGTGTTAGTTTGTATTTTTAGTGGTCAGACAAAAAAATAGCAAATCGGCATGGTTAGTCAAGCATGTATTTTACACTATAAAATACAGGTAAAATGTTTCTTAAATCTCCAACAATTTTTTTTATTTTATGGGTTACTAGATCTAATTTTTAAACTTTACCGGTATAAGTAATTCAAATTTTCCGTTATATAATAAGTTAAATTCTTTTCTAAGGTTTTAATTGAAGAAAATATTTTTAAAATTTTATTGTGCATTAACGTTTATGTAAGAAACATATTCCTTATTACTGATTTTATTATGGATAAATATTTCTAGTTCAACCCCTCCCCCCCCCCCCCCCCCCCCCCCCCCCCCCCCCCCAAAAAAAAAAAGTTATGAAAAGTTTGTTATAGTTTTATTAATTTCCTTTAGTTTAGTTTAACTAGATTTTGAAATTCATGATAAACTTTTAGTTTAACTACTTTATTTTAGTTGAAAACTAGTTTTAGTTTAACTTTTAAAAGTTAGTTTAGTTCCCATCACTACATATAAACTCTTCAATATTGTGTGGTATTAGATTTGTTGTATTTTAGTTATATTAGAAAATTTACTTATGGTTTAATGTGGGAAGTATAGGTTTGTACATATAAATTGTATTTACATTTTTGAGTGTGATAATTTACTTTTGGTTTATTTACATCTACTGTCTGGGTTGCTTGATGCACAGAATGTCCTAGTTTTCATTATATCTTCTGCTAGAATGTTATCTCATCGGGTTAGGGTAATTTTTTTGTAAAAAGAGCTCTGTTTATTATCAACTAACATTCCTGTGTTTGACCTTTTTTAACAGTTTTTATAATAATAATATTTACAACAGAATGTATGTATTTGTAATATGAAACTATGAAATGTCCCTGTTTGGATTTACTTGCTTGTATGATAAAAATGCCCTTTTAAGAGAACATATAACTATTATATACATGACATATTTTTTACATTTGTCAACATGGGATATTTTACATTGCGTATACAGCTCTTTCAATTCTTATTAACTAATTAAGGGATTTCAAGAGAATTAAAAATTAAACAGATTGAAAACCATATTTTATTGTTATTTTGTTTATGTAACTTTTAACTGATAAGTTGAAGTTGAAATATACAATGGTTCAGTTGCACAATTTTCTCTTTTTCACTTAAATCTTCTGTATAAATTACTCTCCACTTCAGCTTGTAGAATGTTTAAGGAAGTGCTAGTTGTTTTTCTAGCCATCTGTTTGCTGCTGAAATGAAATCTTTTTGCAGTCTGTGCCTTGGAAAAAAAAGGATGCCGATCTCTTCAACAGCTCTTCATTACTGTACAAGGTGTCAGACATGTTTGGTGGTTGAGGTAATTGGGACTGTCTACGGCGGGAGAATTTGGAGGTAAAGAAAAATTCAAGCGGAAACAATATTTTGCAGTGGGGAAAGTTTGTGAAGTTTAATCTACTAAAGCCATTTCATCGATCTAGAATATAGCAGAGTTTCTGGCTATGGAAAGAATTCAAAGAAGCCTTCAGTGGAAAGACTATTTATTGAAATCATTTTTCTTTTTCTCAAGAGAAATGTCCCACCATAATCAAAAGCTTCTTTGTAAACCCATATGCTAAATTGAAGCAATAGTCTATGCATAAGTTCTGTTTATTGCGGGACAGAATGTCAGTGCCCTTGAAGTATCTTATTCAACCTTTGACGGATTGGTTTAGAAAAACTAGGATTTTGGATGATGCCAAATTCTAGCCATTTTTTTGTTCGCACCATCAAATCTATTAACTTCTAAGTAGTATCTAAACAAGTAGTGCTTCCACTAAAGTACATTTGTAAGGATGACAATCCCGCTGGATTCTGAGTAGCAACCAATTTAATTTTTTAGCACCTTCAACTCAATTAGCGTTTTCTAAGAAACAAGTGGTATTTCCAGTGAAGTACAGTTGTAATGATAAGCTATTATTGTAATAAATAAGACTAGGCTAATTAGGAATTGATGGCCGACCATGTACGCTTTATTATAGGCTTGTAATTCTTTGCAAATACAAGGTGTGAAATATTCTATAGCACGTTGGTCGTAACGATTTGTTTGCATTTGCACATAAGTATAGTTAATAGTTATTAATATATTTAGTTGATGCCTAGAATAGGATAAATGTTTTTTGGTTTTCGTTGTTGTTTTTTTGCCTTGGAGGAGAAATCCTTGCCAGCTGTTTTGAGATGTGATAAATGTGAAAGTTTCTTTAAGAAGAGTGCAGTATCTTGGTAAATGTAGGCCCTATTTACGTTTTGCGGAGTTGCGGTTAGTGCAAGCACATGATAAAATAGCGTTAAACACGTATATATCTACATGTTTAATTTTTATTTCATGAAACAACTATTTACTGTGCACATTAATATCGTATAGCGATGGGGGTGGGGAGGCACCATTTTTTTTAATTTAATATTTTCCGTAACAAGAAAGTTGAAGCAACGACTTTAAACTATAGATGGTAACTTTCCCTACCCTGCAAAAAATTCCGTAGGTGCCCCTGATGACGCGGATTGTTAAGAAGAAGTGATGTAAACTTTTACAAAAATTGTGCCAAGTATCTCAGATAGAGAAGCCGCCTGTTAGACAGTTTAACGCTTACAGAAAGCCTGTAATTACGAAAATCATTGTGTGTACTGTGTACATTGTGGTGTATTGTAATAAAGTCTAAGTTCTTGAAAGCAAAGAATCTAAGCCTGTCCCGCTTTCTTTCATCAAATATCTGTTCACCTTAGTCTAATAAAACTGAGTATGACATGGGGCACTCTGGTCTAGAATGGAAAAGTACTATATAAACAAAAAAAGGAAATCCAAAACCTCTTATATAATACAGACACTACTTCAAAAAAGAAGATGATTACGTCCTACGCGTCATGCATTCAGTCATGCATATTAACCAATGACTTAAATTCTGCCAAGTCACTAGTTTTCCTGGCTAGCTCAGGCAACCCATTCCATGCTCTAATAGCACTAGGGAAGAAGGAGTGTGCCTTTATCTTTGTGTCTTTCAGAGTATTTTATTAAATTTTGTATTTGAAGATTATGGTTCAGTGTTTTATGTATAATTGCCACTTTACTTTTAAGTCTTCTGTCCTGAAGGCTTTCTAAATTTAGTGATTTAACTAAAGGTGTTACTCTAGTCAAATCTGAATATTCGTTTGTTATGAATCTCACTGCTTTATTTTGTGTCTGTTCCAGTTTCTTAGTGTTTTCTTGAGTTGAGGGGTCCCAAACGGAGAATGCATATTCTATTATTGGCCTAACCAAGGTTTAATAACATTTTAGTTTTATGTTCTTATTTGATTTATAGAAATTTCTTTTAATAAACCCTAATGCTTTTGTTTGATTTTTTAAATAGTTTCATCAATATGTGGATTCCATGACAGTTTTTCATTTATTATATAACACCTCTACAGGATGTTCGCATCAAACGAGGAGCCGCGATGTTGCTACAGATAATTTTCTTCTGGTCACGTCCGAGTGAAAGACTGCAGAAATAAGAAGAGTTCAAGGTTACCCTATTGTCACGTATTACGAATTGAATTCTAATTTTTAAATGGCTTGCCTAGGGGAACGTGACAATAGAAAAAGCTGTTGTGTCACTTATCTTAAGTCTGAATTTAATCAAAGACTTACAATGAATAACAAAAAAAAAATGACACAAGAAATCGGAAGGTAAAATATCAACTTAAGGTTTAATAAAATATAACTCGAATAGTACTTTTAAATGAATCATATAAAGCAAGAAAAAAAAAACATTTACTCAATACAAAAGGAGAGGGTTGACCAAAACCCTTTTACAAAAATGGCATGTAAAAATATTACAATACCAGAGTTTGAAAATATAATTACAAATACAAGCAAGGCCTTGAAAAAGAAAAATCTTAACTTACACGATCAATTGGTATACCACGCACGGGTTACGCAATGTCTCCGCTATTCTGTCTCACGGCTGTCTCCGTATGTCTGTCTGTCAACGTTACACGGGCGGTCTTTATATAATATACCGCGCGTCGATATCAAGACAAATCTAGTAATTTCTAGAACAGATTAAGTCATCAACACCCAGATCTAGAACGCTCTTCAAAGAGACAGAAAAAAAAGAAAAAACCACCCTCCTTTCAACCAGAGGTACACACATAGGTCAAGGACCGGTCACTGTCTGTGTGGCTTGACTCGCCGTGAAAAATACAATAAAAAACTTATTACACAAAGGGGCAGACAACCTACAGGTCAAGAAAAAAATAGTATCTAGGCATTGTTACCTAGATACGTAACACTATCAAAGAAATTCTAGTTCATAGAAAAGCTGCTGGAGTATAGCAGACATGGCAGAAAGTGAAAAGAACCGGTAAAACACCTCAACGTGCCAAGAATTACTGGGTCCCTAGTCGTACACCCTCAAGGAGTGGATTTCAGCAAAATCGCTTCAGAATATTGATGAAACAAGAGAGAAGAAAGCAGGTGTGAACAAGAGTAAAACAAGGGCATTGAAAGAAATTATAGAACCTCAAGCGTAATGACAGAACAGCCGGCGAAGCAATGGCAACAGAAACAGCACCAAAAACCTGTATTCTATAATCAAAAAGATACCAGAAAAATTGCCAAACCAATAAGACCAGTAAAAGGAAAGATTTGCAAGAATGGAGAAGTGATAACAGTTAAGAAAGACAGAAGAAGAGGTGGATCAAACATTTCCAGGAGCTTCTGAACAGCGGAAACAGTTGAAGAACTGCAAATCTTAAGGACCTGACAGCATCACTGTTAAGGGCTCAAAACATACAATTGGACGATAAAAATGAAGTTATATTGATTAATTTGATTCTGTAAGTTTACATAATGATAATTTAATATATAAGAACTATATGATGAGTATATCTAGAAGGGGTCGTCCAAAGAAAAGCTGGCTGGACAATGTAAAAGAATGGACTGGCCTTTCTCTTGATATCCTGCTAAGAACTCGGAAAAATGGAGTGTTTTGAAAAGCGAACGGTTAAAGCCAAACCTACGACGAATCAAGTCAAGGAATAGGCGATTATACCTAGATCTAGGTGTAGACTTGTTTGGACTCATTTTTTTCCCCCGGTAATTAGTTAACCCGTTTTAAAAATTCGGAAGTCCTAAAGTGCCGCTGTGTTTACAAACAATGGACCTGGAGTGCTAGACTAATCTAGATATAGAGCCAGGAGTTCTAGTCTAGATCTATCTAGCTCTATAAAATGCGTGCAGTTAGGCATAGTACCTTGCATTATATTGTCGTCATAATTATCTTTTTTTATTTAGATCTAGTTTTAACAGAAGAAACTAAAAATATAAAAAATGTAGCATCTCAGCAGCGGAGGTAAGCCAAAAAGCATTAAAATGTCAATAAATTTGAGAAAATCGAAATGAAAAATCATTTCAATGAATTTCAAATTCACTGACAATGACATTATTTTTTTATATTATTATCATATAGATCTAATATCAAAAACATATTAAACACTTTAAAAAGAAATAAGTTTATATTGAGCCTACTTGTATCAATTAGTTTGGATATCAGACAGAGGGATGGAAAAAGGGGGGGGGGGGGGAGCACCAGTTCTTTTCTTTAAATAATATTTTCAGTAACTAACTTTTCAAGAAAGTTAGATCTAGAAAAATCTAGTCAGTCTAGATGATACTAGATCTAGATGATTGATTTGATGGCTAAATGAGATCTAGAGTCTATATCTATAATAAAAGTAATAATAACATTATTATTATGTTTCAAATGTTTCTGTTTCATACCTCTGCGACAAATGCGGCTCTGAGTCTGAGCAGCTTTCTTCCATATTATTCCAGAATCTTTAGCTTGACTGATGACTGACCCCTTCCAGGTTTGCTTGGGCCTGCCCACTTTCCTTGCAGATTCCAATCAAGTGCCTACCTCGCAACATTATTAATTGATTTTTGCAGGATGTGTCCTTTGACTTTTTAATATCTTGGGCTATTGGTATTGGCTTGGTTCTCTTCACAAGTTGACAGTAGATACTCTAGAGATGTCTTATTTGGGGGGCCAAATTGT